TTTTATCCTTATTTTTGGACGCCCTGGCAGAATTGGCCCCTCCTGTTTTTCATTCTTCTCCAGGATTCTGTTGCTCTTTATTACCACGTGTGAAAGCAAAACGCTTTGTAGAAATTATTATTTTGTTTTTTTTTGCTTGGACAAAATTGTTCCCCCTAAATTTGCCTCCCTATCTTTACTGCCTTGGCTCTTGCAGATTTCTGAGAAACTCCTCTATTTCTCTGCACATTATGCTCTGTCTTTATTCTTCTCCAGGGTTCTGATGCTGTTCTTACGGAAGGAAGATTTCTGGTATTGCTGCTGCCTTCATGTGATACTGTGTCGACCTGTGGGAGTCATTTAGATTAAGTATAAATGATTTGCATATTTTGTAAGCATCTGTTTGTCTTCAGGTTCTGCAGGTTCATTTTGAGCAGTTTCTGAAATATCTGCTCAGCTTTGGCCTTGCTGTGATGTGACTTTGCATAGATAGTTGCGAGGTCTATTTCCCTTTGAGTGAAGAGTGAGGGTAAAGAGAGAGCAGCTCCTCGTGGAGAGCGATTGCTCTGTCCACCATGCTTTGTTCTGGGAACTACTCTTTATAAATGATCCTCCATCTGTAGCAGAGTGAACAAATTTCTTCAGATAACGCACATCTGGATGTTCTTTCAGAACTTTCTCTGCTAATTTAACGGCCTCATCAACAGATATGTGTTCTATGTAAAGGTTTAGTAAGGCCCACATGCCACTGTTACTGCAGTTACTGCGGTTACTGCTCACATTTTCAGCCAACTCACAGACTTCATCTCGAATGTTTTCTCTTTTATTAGCACGTTGTTCAAGGTAGAGCGCAGCGAGGTACAAGTTCTTTGGATCCCGTTCCTTGGCTTGTCTCATTTTCTCCAAAAGGTCAGGGTCCAGCCTTGTGTCACTGAAGTTTTTGACCTTCTTTAACCATATGACATAGCTGGTGTTCCAATCCACCATTTTCGGCTGCATCCTGGCAGCTTTCTTGTAGTAATCAACAACCAGCTTCTTATCCTCTCCGAAGAACATCAGGGTCCAGGCCTTTTCAGCGCAGATCTCTGGATGGAGGTCGTCCTGGGTTGCAGATGGGTCTTTTTCCATCAGGGCATCAACCTTTGACAGGTAAGCCTGACTCTCTGCTTGATCTCCCAGGTGGTGGTGCAGCCAGGCCAGGTTCCCGTAGTTCACCACTAACCAAGGACCCTCATCTGCCTTTCTCAGCTTGTTGAGTGCCTCCGTAGCCTTCTGGAACAAACTGTTAGCCTCTTCATTTAACCCCAGTTTATACTGAATGAACCCCCACAGGTTGTAAATGTGGCCCAGCCATCTATTTCCCTTCTCTTTGCTGAAGTCCTCCATCTTGTGCGTGAGACGTAAAAGTTTCGGCCTGCTGCGGTCCAGGTCCCAGGTGAAGTGGCACTGCAGGGACTCCAGTGTGGTTTGACTCTGAGCAGCACTGATGGAGAATACAAAAACAAACATTTAAACACATCAGCAGCTAGTTTTGACTCTTGTGTTCTTATTTGTTATGTCTCGTCTTGCAGTGTCTCCTTTACTCTTCTAAACTGTCAATCACTTTTATTACCCTATTATATAGTCAGACAATCAAGTAAACTTCTCAGATAAATAAAAAACAGACTAAATTATTTGGTGGACATCACTGCATGGGCTCAGGAACACTTCCAGGAGACATAGTCTGTGAACACGTTAGCTGAAACTCTACCATGTGTAGGGTTGCCACCTTCCAAGCAGAAAAACAAGGGACACCCGCAGCGGGTTGCAACTCAGTAGGGGCCTCACTGGCCCAACGGTGGGGTGGGGCACCAGTTGTGGTGAATCATGATTTAAAACGTGGTTTTAATGAACTACTAAGAGTCATACTTAAAGTTTTAAGTGCTTTATGAACACATTTTTTTCTGAAATAATTTACAAAAATGCAAAACTTCAGTGTAAAGGCAGATACAGTAATGTATGCACAATGAAATGCACCTAACACGACTTCAGCAGATGATTACTATTAGCTATCTAATTTACAACTTAACTTAAACTTCAAATAAAGTTATTAACTTAACATTAATTCATTAACAGAGTATTATTGAAGTGCTTTTGACACTGCTGTAACATAGAGGGGAGCAGTAAGATAACAAATTTTTTATTAAATAAACAGTACGAATTTAATAGTATTTTCATTCATTTATTCTGTCCTCCTGTCTTTCGTTTTTGTTGTTTTCTTATGAAATCATGAATGATACTATTAATATGGTTTTGAACTATTTTTTATTGTATTAATTAAGTGTCTACTGTCGATATATCCATGTTGTATTGATGATATCTCACCCAGGACAAACTGTGAATACAGATTTGGCTAAAATAAATACGTACCGAAAAATATTCACACTATCCAAACTATACTGGAATAACCTATTTATAAACATGGGAGAAAATATATTAAGTAGGCCTACAATAGTTTCCTTTACATTATATTCATTTTCACTGACACTGTCAAGCCAGGCATTACTTTCTACTCACGTCTGTATTTCTGCATCCGTTTACGTTTCAATGGTGCACGGTGCGGGAATCAGAGACACCTGCAGACATGTTTCCTTCTGACTCCTATGACTTTCTCTCACCCAATCACTGACAAGCTCTCATTGCTCATGCCAAAAAAGAACCAAACAAACCAACGGACACTCCGAGGAGGCGGGAACTAGCCGGCTGAATGATGCTGAGTTCAAAGCATCTTGGAAATACGGGACAAACCGCGTCCCGTATTGATTCAAAACGGGACGCAATATCAAAGTGTAAAATACGGGACGATTCCGTATTTTAAGGGACGGGTGGCAAACCTAACCATGTGTCATGATTTGGTTTTGTATTTGAGTTTCCCTGTTTTATCCCAGTGTTGCTTGTTTCCCTTGTGTGTTTCCTAGTTTTGTCTTCAGTGTTTTCTGTTTTATTTTGTCATTTATTATCCTCGTGTATCTCTGTGTTCTAGTGTGTTTTGTTAGATTCTTGAGTTCTGTGTGTCTTTAGTGTTTCATGATTTAGTTTGTAGTTGTCCTCAGTATTTCTTGTATTCCTGCCTCTGTGTGTTTCCCAGTGTGTTTGCCCTGATTGTCTTCACCTGTGTCGTTAGTCTCACCTGTGTCTGATTACCCCATGTCTATTTAGTCTCTGTGTTTCGTCCCTTCTGTGGCAGTTCATTGTATGTGTTTGTCGGTGCGTATGTTATGTCAGTGTCCCGGTGGCTCCCTGTTTTTGAGCCCTGTGTTTTTGTTGAACTTGTTGAAGTAAGTTTTTGTTTGGCTTTTTGTTAAAATAAATAGTTTAGTTAATTCTGCACTTGGGTCCACACCTCCTTGTTTTCCAATTGTGACACCATGCAAAGAGCAAGCTGTATATAAACCAGATCCAGAAACATTGCTGGCTTTCCTTGGGCCTGAGGTCAATTAAAATGGACTAAGTCGAAGTGGAACACTGTCCTGAGGTCTGACAATTCACAATTTGAAATCTTTTTAGAAAAAATGGACGCTGCATCCTCCGGAGCTAAATAGGAGAGGGACCATCTGGCTTGTTATCAGCGCTCCGATAAAAAAACAGCACCTGTGATGGTATGGGGTGCATGGGTAAACTGCACATCTGTCAAGGCTCCGTTAATGCTGAACCATACATAAAGGTTTTGGAGCAACATATGCTGCCAAATAGAAAACCTCTTTTCTGGGAAGGCCTTGTTTATTGCAGCAGCATAATGTCAAACCACATCCTGCACACTGACAACAGAATGGCTCACAAGTCAAAAGCCTCATTTCCACCTAGCGGTCTGGTCAGTGGTCTGCACCTCCAAGGTCGCCCATGGGGGCCAAAAATCCAAAACAGCATTGAAATAACTCTCAAAACCTACGGGATATTTAAACTTGGCGTGTTTTCTGTTTGTCCTTTATTACTGCTGTCAGACGGAAAGTGGCGGTTCTTTTAACCAGTCAACGGACTGCGGTTTGTCTCGCTCCAACCTTTAGGGTTGGATTGGTACACTTGACACATAATGTGGATCTAATGTGTTTGGATTAAATCTTTTATTGGATTTAAACCGTTGGGACTCAGTTTGATGAATTATTATGATCAGGAGAGTTCAGTAAACCTTTAAACGGTTAAAAGACGTTGTTTGTTTGTCGGTGGTCTGACAGGTGGGTAGATTGTGACTGCTGTGGTGGTCTGACCTGCACACATTGGGCCGTCTGAGTAACAGGGTCAAATATACTGGTGCACCGTTTATGTTTTCATAATTATATCAGATCAGCATATTGATTTACTTTGTTTGACTGAAACCTGGCTGTGTCGAGATGAATATGTTAGTTTAAATGAATCCACTCCTCCCAGTCATTTTAATACTCATATACCTCGAGACACCGGACGAGGTGGTGGAGGAGCAGCTATTTTTAATTCTAGTCTTCTAGTTCACCCTCAACCAAAGCTGAATTTTTCTTCTTTTGAAAGCCTTGTTCTTAGTCTTTCACATCCAGTCTCAAGAACTTTTCAGCCAGTTCTAGTTGTTGTAGTTTACCGCCCTCCTGGCCCATATTCTGAGTTTCTATCTGAATTTGCAGAATTTTTATCAAATTTACTCCTTAGCAGTGATGGAATAATTGTTGTAGGTGACTTCAATATCCATGTGGATGTTGAAAATGATAGCCTTAACACAGCTTTCATGTCATTATTAGACTCTATTGGTTTCACCCAGGGTGTAAACAAACCTACTCATCGTTTTAACCACACCCTCGATCATGATGATGAATCAGTTTATGGACGCCATCTTGTAATACTCTTAGTTTACCCGCAGATGGCGCCTGTGCTACTTGTAAAGCCAGGCAGTAAAGTGTATGTGAAGTTGTTAATCTCTCTAAAGAGCTAATTTCTTCCAGTTATGTTTGTTGAACTCAAATATTTCTGCCAAATTACTTACTCTAATAATTAAAAGGAATATATTATATTATGTTGCACTGACCCCTATCGTCATGAAGTGCTTTGAAAGGTAACCAAGGTAACAGATCCACCGAGGATGCCATCTGTTCTGCTCTTCACCCAGCCCTCACCCACCTGGACACCAAAAACTTATACGTCAGAATGCTGTTCATAGACTTCAGTTCAGCATTCAACACCATCATCCCTCAGCAGCTGATCAGCAAACTGGACCAGCTGGGGCTCAGCACTTCCCTGTGCGACTGGCTGCTGGACTTCCTCAGCGAGAGGCCTCAGACAGTGCGGGTCGGCGGCAACACATCAAAAACCACCGTCATGAGCACTGGGGCCCCCCAGGGTTGTGTGCTCAGCCCCCTGCTCTTCACGCTGCTGACCCACGACTGCGCTCCATCCTTCAGCAGAAACCACATTGTGAAGTTCGCCGTTGACACAACAGTGGTTGGTCTCATCTTCAACAACAATGAGACACACTACTGGATGGAGGTCAGCCAACTGGCCACGTGGTGCAGAGACAACAACCTCTTCCTGAACGTCAACAAGACCAAGGAGGTTGTTGTCGACTTCCGGAGAGTCCCCACTCCTAAACCCCCACTGACCATCGACGGTGCTGCTGTGGAGAGAGTGAGCAGCACCAAGTTCCTGGGGGTTCACATCAGTGAGGATCTCTCCTGGACAACCAACACCACATAACTGGCCAAGAAGTCCCAGCAGCGCCTCTACTTCCTCCGCAAGCTGAAGAGAGCACGAGCCCCCCCATCCATCATGTGCTCCTTCTACAGAGGCACCATCGAGAGCATCCTGACCAGCTGCATCACTGTGTGGCTTGGGAGCTGCACTGCTGCCAACCGCAAGACCCTGCAGCGCACAGTGAAGGCTGCTGAACGGATTATCGGTGTCCCACTCCCCTCTCTTCTGGACCTCTACGGTACCCGCCTCACCCACAAAGCAACCAGCATTGTGCGTGACCCCACCCACCCCTCACACAGCCTCTTCAGCCTCCTGCCATCGGGGAGACGGTACCGCAGCCTGCGGGCCGGCTCCACCAGACTGAGAAACAGCTTCTTCCACCAAGCTGTCAGGAAGCTTAACTCTCTCCCTTCTCTTCCTTCTCTCCCCTCTGCCCCACGAACACTGGACGTTGAAACCCCCTCCCGTTTGCCACCAAGAACTCTGGACTAATAACTCTGAAGCTAACTATTCAAAAGTACACTCAGTTTACTGCACATTGCACATATTGCACAAGTTTACTTTTTCTTTCAATTTTCTTTTATTTTATTTATTTTATTTACCATTTTGTACCTTTTGCACAATTTAGAATGTATTACTGTAAATATTATTTATCTTAAGATTACCTCATTTTATTTTATCTATTTTACCTTATTTTGGTTGTATTGCACCGCGGGACGGAGACAAACGAAGTTTCGATTCCACTGTATGTCTGGCATATTTTGAAATTGACAATAAAGTTGACTTTGACTT